AAAAAAAAAAAAAAAAAAAAAAAAAAAAAAATCAATCCTGTGTGTAAAACACAAAACAGCTGGAGACAGCAAGACTACCAGCTTGCCACACATGCATGCCCAGTTGTCATGCAGTTAAGCAGGGGGAAAAAGGATCAGGAAACACTGTCCGAATCCCAACCCAACCACAAAACTCTGTACTAAGACAGTAAAATACACTGTTTCAACATAACCCACCTCAAAGTTAACATTCATTTATTACATCTTCCCTGCCTTTAACCAAAACATGCTGATCATTTTCACATTCCTCATTAAATTGAGCCCAATGTTCATTTTATATTACAGCAACACCTCATCTTTGCATACATAACACTTTGTAATTATGAAAGTATTTTCAGTCATGATCTCAAAACACCAAATTAAGATGGTATGGTATTATGGGAATAACAATGGGTTGGCAAAACACCAAATTAAGATGGTATGGTATTATGGAAAAAACAATGGGTTGGCAAAATTAGAAACAATGGATTTCTAATTCCATCTCAGCCACCATGGCTCTCTCCACTTCTGTTTTCTTACCTGCCAAATACAGGTGTCCTTCTATTACTATTAGCGTGACAGCTACTACCTCCTATAAAGACAACGATTACTATCAAATACTACTATTAGTATTGTTGCTCTTCCCAAACTAAAATTCAAATTCTGAATCAAAACATTAAAAACCTAAGTCCTAGTAAGACCACAGGAAAAATCAACGTATCTGGTAATTTATTTTCTTTCTCAAACTCAAAGGCAAAAAATCTGCCTTTTTTTTTTTTTTACATTCACATAAACTGCTTGACGTGAGTATTAAAAAAAAACCCTTCCCAATGAGAGAATATCATGTATAAAAACAAAGTTTAAGAAAGAAAAATCATAGTTCCTCATCAGAAAAAAGTAAAGCTTCTAAAATTGTTACAGCTAAAAGAAAAAGAATAAACAATGTATACAAAATCCAAATATATTTATAAAATTGCAATTAAACAGCTTCATTTTTATTTTATGTTTTACTCACCACTATACTAACAAGGAACAGTTTCATTTTTAAAGATAATGCAAAGAACTTCCTATTGGAAACATTTAATATGTAGAGTATGATAACAAAAGCAGAAAAAAAGGAAGGACAAATACATCACATTTCATAGACACTATAGTAGTGAACTATGAAAGAAAGAGGCAATTTCCTTCCACGTTACTATCCCAAATAAAAATGAAAAGGGGTTGGCCCCCTGGCGCACTCAGGAGAGTGCAGCGCTTGGGAGCGCAGCAGCGCTCCTGCAGCGGGTTCAGATCCTATATAGGGATGGCTGGTGCGCTCACTGGCTGAGCGCGGTGCGGGCGACACCAAGCCAAGGGTTGTGATCCCCTTACTGGTCACAAAAACAACAAAAAAAAAAAAGGAAAAAAAAAAGAAAAGAACTGCTTGGCTTGGTTTTGTTGTTTTTTTGTTTGTTTTTGTCTTGTCTTGTTTCACAGAGCAATCTAACATAATTATCATTAATTTAAATATCAAGACCCACTTAAAATCAGCTAAATACATTATTTTTGCTAAATATTTGAAAAGGTCAATGGCATATTCATAAATAAAAAGTGAAGCATCTAAGTGAGAAGGCAAAAGTTATCTTTGAGGATTTTTCTTCTTCTGAATCCATTTAGAACTACCATTGTAAAAATCTAATTATGCTTTTGAACAAATCACCATTGGATTAAAAATCTTACAGTGAATAAATGGAAACAAATTAGATTTAAGTTACTGCAATCTGAACCCCACCTAAATTAATTCTTCAAAAACAACCCTTTAATTCTGCTAGAATCATATGAACCTCACCTTG